TTCCGAAAAATGCGGCTACTTGCCGCCTCTTTACTTTCCCATCACTTGTTTTCGAAGGGTGACTTTTCTTTCTTCAAATTTTAATCAAAACGTAATTAAAAATTAATTAATTAATTAATTAACAGATTAAACTAAATTAATTAATATTTAATGGTTAAAAATTTTGGATTAACTGGCTTGACTTGACCCATTGATGCAAAATGATAAAGTAGTTTATATATTTTTTTAATTAATTATGATTTAATTTACTATATGGTTGATAATAAATCTCTGTCACCCTAAATTTAAATTTTAATTAGTATATTAATAATTATTTAGTTGAGTAATTTATATATATATATATATGTTTAAGAAAGTTGTGGGTTTGAATTAAATTATATTTAGTGGTTTTTTTAAAAATTATTTTTTATTATGTTATAATTGAAAATATTTTTAAATTTCTAATGAATGAAACACTAGCTCCATCATATATGTACAATACATATATTACATATGTAGATATATATATATATATTTACATACATAGAAGAGAAAGGTGTGAAAAGTCAGCGACTTCTTTCTCTCTCTCTCTTCAAGAACCATTCTTGTTTTGACAAAACAAAAAACCCTTTGCTTTCTTTGCTTCTCAACATCAAATCCAAATCCCAGAAACAATTTCTTTCTTCACTTTCATCCGTTTTCACAGATCAAAACCAGCAAGAAGCACACACGCAGACATATGTATATATATATGTGTGTGCGTGTTTGTTAGTTGGTGATGAGCAGAAAGTGAATTAAAGCAAGTAGTTTAATTATGGGTTGCTGATCATGATTTGTGAAAACTAGTATGTGCAGCTTCTTTGGAGTAGCTATGGAGGATTATCAAGGAGACTTAACCGACATATTTCGAGCTATTTCACATGGAGTCAACACAAATATCCCTTCTCACGATCATGATCATGATCATAACTGGTTCGTTTCTGATAATCCTTTAATGGATTTCCCATCTTCAACCCACATCCTTGCCGATAATACCTCCTTCGGTGATCCTTTCTTGAACATGCGAGATCCCCTTCTTCTCCAACACCCCGTGCCCGCCACTGCTCCTGCTCCTGCTCCTGCTTCTGACTACTTCTCCACCATTGTTGAAGACGCAAGCTTTTCTGGCGGGAGCACTAGCACCAGCAGTAGTGTAAATCTTGGTCAAAGTATCTTGGAAGATGAGATGAAGGGTTCTTGTAGTGTTTTCTCCAGGATTCAGATCTCGTCCTGCAGTGATGTTGGTAGTAATCAGATGGCAGAGGTGATCGCCGGAGGTTCGCCGACGGGAATTAAGCCGGCGGCGACAGGTGGTGGTGAGATGAATAATGTTAATGTAAAATCTTGTTTGGTTGATAACACCACTAGCTCTCTGCAGATCTCGTCTCCGCGGAATCTGGGCATCAAGAGGAGGTAAAAATAATAATAATTATTATAATTATAACATTCATCATCATAATATTTTAACTCTTTTTCTGTGTTGCCCACTTGATTAATGCATGAAAATTATATATTAGCTCCGTATATATATATATATGTGTGTGTGTGTGTATATACATGTATATGTATCCCCATGTTGTTGAATTTAATGTGGGTTTTTGTCAGTTTTTGCAGTTTCTCTTTTATTTATTTATTTTTTCTTAGGAGTTGTGCTTAGTTTCAACTCTGATTTACTGTAAACTTTCTGGCTTTCATTAATTAATTTATGCACCAAATTAACCATGCATGAGATTGGATTAACTTGATGATGTTTGAAACTTGGTTGGGTTCTCATAAAATCATGTATAGAATCAAAGAAAATTAGGGTTTTTGCTCAACAAAATTTGGGATTAATGACAATTAGTAGAATACATATATATATATATAGATTAATTTCTCTCGAAAAACTTTTCAAAGTTTAACACAAAATTTTGAAACCATCCATAAATTGTAACTTTCGTTAATTATTTAGTTACTTTCATTCATTTCTACGAAGTTGTGAGTTTGAATTGAACTGTACGTTTTATGTATATTCTCGTTAAGAATTTTATTAATTGCGTCGTTATCGGTGTATATAAATATTATTCAATTCTTGAAATGTATAAATTTGTGCCATGAAAACATAAAATCTTAATAGGTTTTAATTAGCCTAACCAAAAACTTAGATTTCATTTCATATCTACACAGAGATATCTATTTCCACAAGGGATTTAACACTTAATACACCTAAATATATAAATATACCAACTTTTGCAATTTCTTTTTGTGCATATATGTGTGTGTGTGTGTGTGTGTGTGTATATATATATATATGTTGAGAAAGAAGGAACAGAAACTGAGAATGATATGATAATTCAGGAAAAGTCAGGTAAAGAAGGTGGTTTGTATCCCAGCACCAGCAGCTGCCAACAGCAGGTCTAGTGGAGAGGTGGTTCCATCTGATTTATGGGCATGGAGAAAGTATGGTCAAAAACCCATTAAAGGATCTCCCTATCCAAGGTATATACATACATATATATATATATGCATTTCCAAGCAATCTCATATATTACCCATGCATCTTTTTTTACATCTCATTTATATATACATATATGTATATAGTGTATAGCTTCTATAAAAGTTCATAACTATATATAAGGCTGATTTTCCCTATTCTCTCTTCTGACATTAACAATTATTACTGAACCTGTTCATCTCTCATTGTAAGTCACTTACAATGAGACATGGATTAAGTTTCCATCATTTCCATTCTGTTTATTCTTAATTTAACTGAGAACAAATTAAGTTACACACGGATATAAGATATATATATATATATATATATGTTTCATGAATGCAATGTTAATAACAATAACTTGAGACTACGCCAAATTTTATAGGCAACAACTGGGGAGCTGGTAGACTGTAAAAAGTGCTTCTGATGAATCCAGAAAAAAACATATATCGTTTTCACATCATGTCCATATAATTCTATACATGATTTTCATGAAAAACAAAACATGCATCAATCATAGATACTTCTGTTTTTGTTGGGTTATACAATTCCCTACATATATATATATATATATAGATGAATTAAAGAAGAAAAAGATTGATTGATGGGATTGAATTAGACTTGAGAGTAGTGTGTGAAAGTTTAAGTTAGACCTTAAATAATCATAACATTTATTAGTTTGGTGATATACATGCATCAATCATAACATAATAGAAATACTCTCGAAATTAGGATATATACATAGATACACTGTAATTCAATTTACAATCTCTTATCGAGGAATCGACGTATACCATTCACTTAAGTTGGTTATTATTTATATTTTAACTCAGATGAAAGTTTTTAGTTTAGTATTTTCTTATGGCTAAGTCACTTGTTTCATGCGCTAGGACTGAACCCAGGATCAAAGATGAACTTCTATAGAGAGTTGAGAATTAAGGATAATTGGTTAGCTCATTCAAAAGTTGAATGGTAGATGTTTAACATGTATATTTATATATATATAATTGTGCAGGGGGTACTATAGATGCAGCTCGTCAAAGGGGTGTTCAGCTAGAAAACAAGTAGAGCGAAGCCGGACTGATCCCAACATGCTGGTGATCACCTACACATCTGAACATAACCATCCATGGCCGACTCAGAGGAATGCTCTTGCTGGCTCTACAAGATCTCAGCCGTCCAAAACCAACAACTCAAAGACTTCATCATCATCATCATCACCTCCGGAAAACAACAAGCAGCTGGATCAGATCTCCTCATCGACCAATGATCTAATCACTTCTTCTCCTGTTAATCCTGGTGGTGGTGGAGGGAGTTGTTCAGCGACAACAAATACTACTACTACTGCTTGTGTTAAGGAGGAATTTGAGATGGATGATGATGATCGTGAAATTAGCCAACATGGAGATCAAGATGATCAGACGTTTAATGATAAGTCTTACAAGCCTGCACTACTACCAGATCATCACACTCACCAAGCTGGAGATTATCTTGTTGGGCTGGATGAGTTAGAGTCTGACCCTCTTAATCTCCTGCTCTCACAAGGATTCAATAATGATGATGATGATGATGATGTTGATGATCCCCAGAAAGATAACAAGAACAACAAGACAGTTGTGGATCCATTCAGTGATCTCTTTGATTGGGCTGTTGACAGCAACACCAACAACAACAGAACTTGTTTTGGACAACCCAATAATACAGGTTAATATTATATATATATATAAAACTGGGTTTGTGAAGTAGAGATGATCTGATTAAATTAATACTTGATTGGGGACAGCTTTTGTTGGGTTTTTGTTTTTTATTTTATTTTATTTTGTTGGGCTTAGCGGAGAAGTAAGATCAAGAAGAGAGAGTTAAAACTTAAAATGAGACGAGTGCTGGTTGATTGGGAACAGATCAGTCCCACGTTCCTTTTGGAATAATATTAGTGGATGGGACAGAAAGCTGAGGAACAGAAGGTTTCAACAGTGGAAGAGCAAGTACATCCATCAGAGACATGACTGGAAAGCTCAGTGAAAGTGAAGTGAAGTGAGGTGATCAAGATCATCATCTTTATATACATTATCATTAATTATTATATGTTTATCTCACATCAGATGGGACTTGCCTCTTCATCTTCATCTTCATCTTCATCTTTATCTTCATCTGGGATTAATTAATATTTAACCTATATATATATATACACACACACATTGAAAGAAGAGGAAGAGAAGAAGAGACGATGACGAAGAAGAGAATGGAAGATGCTTGGCTTTTCTTCTCTCTCTCTCTCTCTCTCTCTCTCTCTCTCTCTCTCTCTCCCCCCCCCCCCCCTCTCTCCCTCTCTGTCTCTCTCTTTCTATGTATATGTATATGTTATATATAGGGGTAGGGTTATGTAAATTAAGATAATTATATTGTATGCTTTGGGTTCCTCAGCTTTCTGTTTCTTTTATTATCCACTCAATGATATCTGTATTACTTATAATATTTCATTAAAGGTTATTTGTTTATGGAAAAGAACAAATTTTCTTTTTACCATATTCTACTGGTTTCTTCTTAATCTTTTGTTTTCTTTTTTTCAGTTCTTTATTTTGTCTTGTCATATGTATAAACAGTGCTATATGTACATAGGAATTTGTACTCTTTGCTTCATTATTTAAGTATTGAAGAAACACATTTTTTCTGCTGCATTATATACATACATTTTCTTTTTTGAGAATGAGTACCAAATGCATTTCTCAACGCAAGAAATCATATCATGGAAAACCAAAGGAAGTATAAAACTGTTGAAGAAATGATTTAAAATTATGCTAGAATTAATTTTTTTTAATGAAAATTATAAATTGACAAATACAAAAAATTAAAGTAAAATTAAAAAAATTAAATAGTGATAAATGAGCAGTCAAATAGCGACAAATAGACGGTTCTACCAGTATCTATATATAGGCTATTGATTATTACGTATCAACATCTATTTTTGATTGAATAGAAAGTATTTTATATTTTTTCTTCTCCAATAATGATATCAGAGAAAATTGAGAGTCAAAAGACTTTTAAATGATACAGTTACGAGTATTGCACAACCAGCTATCATCATTTTTAAATGAGATAACTACGAGTTTTTGAGTATCAAAATGAACACTTTATTCAAGTCTTAAGACCTCTAGGACTTGGTAGAAAATAGGTTTACTAATCCAGATGAGGAGAACCGATTAAAGGAGAACATAAAGGACTCCAGAACATTGTTCTTCCTCCAACAAGTAGTCCATGACATGGTTTTCAGAAGAATTAGAGCAGTTACAACTTCGAAGCAAGCATGAACAATTCTGCAAACAAAATTTTAAGGTTCATCAAAGCTAATAGCCGAGAAACTCCAAACTCTTCGATATGAGTCTGAAACTTTAATAATGAAAAATAATAAATTAGTGCAAGATTTTTTGTCTAGAACAATGACAATAGTTAATCAAGTGAGATCATACGGAGATCAAATAACTGACCAAACTATTGTTACAAAAATTTTAAAGAGTTTAACTTCCAAGTTGATCATATTGTAGCTGCAATTGAGGAGTTTAAATACTTATCTACTCTTTCATTTGATGAATTGATGAGTTTTTTGCCGGCCCATGAGGTAACCTCTACGCATCACCCTTTACATATAGTGTTATGATACTCACTTGAGAAGTCAACTGCAATCCAACAAGGAGTACTAAGTAATTCATGGCCAACAAGAAGGATTCTAAATGTGTAACCTAGGTGAACCCCTCTATTAGTTAAAATAAGTCACTAGGTCTTACTTTTAATAATTTGTAAATAATAGAAGTTTCATTATTTAAGAGTCTTCGCGCATGTTTTATGAGCAATGCTTTATTAAAATACGTAAAATCTCTAAATTTCGTACCACCTTCTACCTTTGGAGAATACAATGATAAGTAGATACAACTCGCTCACCATGGTTATCAGGGGCTTGAATTTCTTGGTCAACTTCTATGACTAAAAAAATAGTCTCTCATTTCATGTCGTATTTTTGCTTTTCGCATTTTTTGGCAACAGTCTCTTTCACATTTGTGGATAATTTCCTACTTGTGTCACTCCCTTTAAATACTATGAGTAAGTCACTATGATTGAACTTAACAGTAACTTGGACAAAATTGAATACATGTGGTTAAACTACTTCACCTAGTCAATTTTCAATATCATGTCATATCCGTCAAATTGAAGTACATAAAAATTGTAACCAAACTTGTAGCCTTGCATTATCTAAGTAACTAATGGTGATTTGCTGCCCATTTATTGTTGACTGTTTGGTTTTTAATTCCCTTGGAAGCACATTCATCTAGGAAAGAGTGTGAACTTTCAGTCTCCAACATGACCATCACATCAAATTGGCTAATGTTCCTCTAATTTTAATAATATTATCTGTTATGACTCTTTCAATTGTTTATATGGATAAGAAATCATTTGATTTTTATCTTCATTGGTGACCTCATTGTCAGACATTTTTTTCATAATGTCTTATTGGTGGACTTCCTCTATTTGTTATCATAAATTTATTTTGGCAACAGTGACATGAAAAATAATGATAATCACATTTGTAGTGTGATATTGTTGACTTTCTATTTTTCATTTCTCTTTTCAGTTCTTGAAGCACATTGAAATTGCAAATTATCGTCATCCTTGTACCTCAAATTGAGTAGGAAGTCATTTTAATTAAGTTTGAACTTTTGGATATTTCAATTATAGATTACTCTTAAAAGAGAGTTTGTTTGAAAATTTGGTTGAATGTGCGAGATTTGAACAATCTTATCATTTGTTGTAGTTCTAATTTGAGTATGCTAATGAAGCTAGAAAAATTTCTTTGAGAGAATGGGATCATCCACATTCACTAAGACACATAAATGTTAGAAATATTCTTGGTATTTTAGAACTGTTCTAATTTATATCAGCTTATTAAATTCTTATATAAAATCTTTTCTTGAATGCCCTCTAAATCTTCGCTAAAGCTCATCCATGAAATATTCTCACTATAATAATCATTTTTTGCTAACCATCCTTGTACCATATATCTGCAACTTCTCCTAGGAAGAGGGATGCAACTTCCACTTTTTGTTCATCAATAGTGTTATTCAGTAAAAAAATACTTATCGCACCTCCTAACCATGCACGAGGATTTACTCCTTTAGATAATAGAATTTTCATATTTAGAAGAGCAGTTGTGAGGTATGAACCGGTTCGATTCGGAGGAACAAGTGAACTAGGTCAGTATAAGCTGTTAAGTTGAACCAATTTGGTTAAAAGTGTCAAGTGATAAGGCATCATATTTTCATGTGAACCAGGCTGCCTGTGATTTTTCCCTACTTTTTTTGTTCAAGTTAAAGACATTTCTTTCATTTGTCTCATGCAGAGGCAAGGAAGAAAGGATTTTTCTTCGCCCAAAATATCAAACAAGGATGGAACGAAGGTTTTCGACACGTCACCGGCAAAACTCTACGGTGAAGCACTTTCACAATTAGATCAAGTTATTGTCAGGATTATCAATACGTCTCGCAAAGTCTAGTCATGAAGTTGGTTAAGCTCTAGTTGGCTTCCTTCGTGGTTGACTGAACAACCACTATTTTGACGAGTTCCACCATAGCCTACCCTTTGGACTTGGTGCGCGAGACAATTGATGCATAGATTTTGATTTACTCTATTTAACGATAAGGAAATGCACTACAATTTTTTATTAATAATGTATTATAGACTTAAAATTACGACTACGTCTATAATGTATCTGTCTATTATAGTATAGTGTTTTATATATATTTTTTTCTTTTTATCAATTTTGTGCTTTTACTATACCATTACCAAATACAAGTAAGACTACTTGGTTTAAAGAATTTTTGGAAATTATCATTTCACTTTATTACAAGTTTTAAATAATATAATATTTAAGAACAAAATAGAACCTTTTTAAAAAAAAGAAAACAATATACAATTAAAATTTTGGCCATCTAAAGTGAATCTAGTTTTAAGGGCATAATCAATACACCCAAAGTGAATCTATTTGTAATCATCAACTTTGGACTTAGGAGATTTTTGCACTAATTATAATGATGTGATTACATAACTATAAATTATAATTAAAATTTTGACCCATGCAATGTTATATAATTAGGAAATGACGTTTCATGTGCATGCCTTTTTCAGAGATTTTAGTGAGAAATTAAGCAAGCTCAATGCTTATATACATATATATATATATAATATTATATTATATTATATACATTCTTTTTAGGAATATAATGAGTAGATATACATTTGTCATGGACTAAACCCATTTCGATCTTATCAAAATCATGAGAACAGTGACAAGCATAAGTCCAATTGCACACAAAATAAATTTCCATCAAACAAGATTTGAAGTGAAAAATATGAAGGAGTTAATGGAAGTTGATTAAGAAAGAAGGAAGGAAAAAGTTAATGGAGAAGTTCTGAAACTGTTGTTTTTGAGGGAGGTGAAGTGATGGATTTGACAGAACTTGGAGTCACTATTTCCCATTAATCAAACTTTAGAATTTGTCAACCTTGCAGCTTTTCTTCTCACATGCAGTGAATCCATACATATATATACATACATATATATATATATATACATACATATATATACAAACACACACACACAAGAATAATTATCATAAATACACTTCTATTTGGAAGAAAAAAAAAAAAACAAAAAGATTATACAAAATTTTAGGTTATTTTAATGAAGAAAATTTATTCCCACAAAATATTTTTTTATAATTTAAAAATATAATAAATTTATTAAAATTTAATTATTATATTTCCATTAATTTATTAATAAATTAAAATTTTAATATTATAAATAATTTATTAATAATATATAATACATTTATGACGAAATATGTGTTTTCAGTCAAATTTGAATTTATAACCTCTAACTAAATGTAAAAATGTTAATTGGACTCAAAAGAAATTCAAATAGAAAAGAATACCCATATGTCTATGCTTAATATATATATATATATATATATATATATATATATTATATTAGTTATTTTTTGATTCTACAATTAGAATTTTATATTTTTTTATAAGGGTGTAATTCAAGTTGAATTGTGTGTTCATTGTATGTTTATGTTAAGAGGTTGGTAATGTTATTTCT